GGAGGAATTCTACAGACAACTGCAATCAGTAATGGACAAGACACCACTCCAGTTGATAATACTAAAATTCCAATGAGTGGGGTGGTGTGAGTGCCAAACATGGAGTGGATAACGCAGGAAGAGAACCAATCACGGGTCGAGAGACGCTGGGAGAAATGAAAAAGAATGGAGAACTGTTTGCAAACTTCTGCTCCTTTAGTGATTTGGTGATCGAAGGTGGTGTGTACAAACACAAAGATATTCACAAGGCAGCGACATGGATCGATTTCACCAGATGGGCAAGCTTAAAATCAGAATGACTTCATTCCAATCTGAAGAAAGTGGAGACGCATTCTGCTGGACACAACATCAAGGAGGGGAGCAGACGTAGGTTCAGACCACTATCTATCTAGTGCAAGGAACCTACCTTTGAAATCAAGCTGAAATCCTTCACAGAAGTTGGTGATAGGCCACAATTCAAGTTCAACACCCAGAACAGCAACTGATGGACGAAGCTACAATGGACATCTTCACATCAGCCACTATGACAAAATAGGAGACGTTAAGCAACAGCCCTGAAGGATAGGGTGCAGAAGAACACTGGAACTCTTTAAAAGCTATGTGGAAAGAAAACTGCATAACTGCATTCGGAAGAAAGAAGTATAAGGGGCAAGAGAAGGACTGGAATGGATCTTCACCGAAATATAGATGGTAGAGCAGGGAGAGGGAGATGGTGAAGGAGTGAAGCAGTCCGATGATGCACAACGAGAAGACAAACTGAGTACAACGTATAAAACACTACGCTGGACAAAAAGGTGAAGAAGAGTGTGCGCAAAGACAAAAAACACTTCTACAACACATTGGCTAAGTGAAGCAGAACAGGCTGCAGGTAGGAGAAATAGAGACCTGAAAACAATGTATCAAATAACCAGGTTACTGTCTGGGAAGAGATCAACGCAGATGAAATCAATGAGAGATAGTCAAGGAAACCTAGTTACCAAAGAGGAGGAGCAAATGAAACGATAGGCTGACCACTTAAAAAAATTCTTGGATTGACCACCACCTGCAACTCGTCCAGAAATGCCACCAGCAGCCACAAAATTACCAGTGAGTACAAGCCCTCCAACAAAAGAAGAAGTGTAGTCCTGAACGCCATAAAGTTGGTGAAATCCAAGAAAGCAGCAGGATGAGATGGAATTCCACCGGAAGCAGTGAAAACAGACGCAGAAGCAACAGCAGCCGACATGCTCACACCACTACTGCAGAAGGTTTGGAAGGAAGGAAGGAAAGGTACCTGCAGATTTGTTGGAAGAAGGGTTACCTTATCAAACTTCCATAGAAGGTAGACCTAAGTCTTTGCAAGAACTAGCACATATCAAGCTCTTGTCCACCCCAAGTGAGCAGAAGATTGGGCAGTATCATCCTGGAAAGAATAAAAGATGCTCTGCATTCAAAATTACGACCGGAACAGTCTGGCTGGCTGACTGGTTTTAAGGAAAACAAATCATGTGTGGATCAAATTGCAACACTACTCTAAGCATCATCATAGAAGCAAGTGTAGAGTGGCAGTCAACTCTCCACCTCAACTTCTTCGACTTTAAAAAGGCCTTTGATAGCGTCTACCGAGAAGTAATTTGGCAGTTGCTTCATTACTACGGAGTGCCACTAGTCTTTATCAACCTCATTCAACAGCTATATGACGACGCCACATGCCAAGTGATTCACAGTGGAAAGCTCAGTGACGCCTTTGAAGTGAAGATAGGGGATAGGAGTAAGATATGGCTGCTGCTTACTACCACCCATGATCTCCCTGATTGTGGCGTACTGGATCATGCAACTAACTGTGGGGAGCGAGAAGATGGGAACACGCAGGGTGGACCGATGAAAAGACCCCAGGCGAAGATTTAGATTTCGTCGATGATAATTTATGTCTAACGTCTTGTCGCACAAGCTTGAAGATCTACAGGCAAAACCCAAAAAGTTGACTGAAGAGGCGAAGCAGCGAAAACAGGACTTCAAGTGAATGTAGAGAAGACAGAGGTGACGAAGGTACCTAACGAACAACAGCATCAACAACAAGCACCAATCATTATTACTAGGAGAAACCTAAGGGAAGTTGACGCTTTCATCTTCCTAGGCAGGGTAGCATCATTTCAACTACAGTCGGCTGCACAGATGAGGACGTGAAAGCTGGGATCGGAAAGGCAGCAATTCAGGCCTTCTTGCATTAATCTGAAATCAGTGTGCAGGTCTGCTGCACTCAGCATAAAGTGTGAACAACATCCGGATTTTCAACACTAATGTCAGCCAAGTCAGTGCTTCCATGTGATGATCGAGAGACTGGGGGCATTACGAAAAGCATTTCCAACAAACTACAGACATTCATCAACAGCTGCTGGCTTTATACTGAAGATCAGATGGGTAGAATAGTAAGAATAAGCAGAAAGGAACTCTGACTGGCTGGCTGGCGACAAATCAACCAAGAATTCATCGCCTAACAAATATGCAGTAGAAGGAGGTGGAGATGGATTGGGCATACTCTGAGAAGACCGATTTGGATACCACGCACCAGTCCCTCGAGTGGAATACAAAGGGAAAAGAACGAGTTGGGTGTCCGAGTTTTACGTGGCGGAGATCATATGAGGAAGAAATGAAAGCTTGTGGGAAGCCTTGGGTGCGGGTTGGAAAAAAACTGCAGAGAACAGAGTGCAGTAGAGACTGCTACTGAAGCCCTCTGTTCCACTGAGAACCCAAGGGATAACTAAATGATATAATAATAAAGCTTGTTAGACTGACGTTTACCGCACACTTTTGTCAATAAAATCCGTGGTTCCTGTTTTTGATCAGACTTAAAACAAATCTAATTTTTGCCAACAATAATTATCTTTGATTGGTAGTGTTGACAGGAACCGATACATAAGCGTTTCAGCTACCAAAAACAGAAACTAGGCTCCAAGCCCGTAGCTTGAAGGCTTTTAGTTGGAATCCTGCCGCAACCTATGTTATTATTTTGCATGTTCAGAAATCAAAATTCTGTTTTGGGAGGAAAAGAAGTTTTCAGACATCTTGGTTTTTGTTGTGCCGTAGTTTACGACATGTCATTCAACGAATTTTTATTCGATATTCACCATTTCTGTTGGTGAATGATTAGTTAGTTATTTCATTCAGAGAACAGGACATATGTCGTCGTAAGCAGGAGGGAGGAGGAGGAATGTGAAAAATTAAGTCGGAAAACGATAACGAAAAGTTCTTGGTAGGACTTGGACTATACGGTACCGCGATACTGATTGATGAAAGTAATATGAGCGCACTTATTTCTTCTTGGAGAGGATAAATATTGTTACTTCTTTCTGAGGATTATTTCATATCACGTATGTCTAGATTTCAGATCCTTTGATAAATTGGACGTTTAATAACAAAGCACTTTGTGAAAAAGCAGTTCCATAATTATTGGCACAAACGAAACTCCTGTACTTATCCCAAAATAAACCCAGTTCATCTCAGTCCAAATTTCAGTTCCATCTTCGCAAGCTCTATTCTCACAAGGGGCGCAGAAATTGCTTTAGGGATTATGAAAAACAATACAAAAATTCTTGACTTCAGAACAGTCAGTGATTGAGATTTTGGTGGAAAGTCGGATGACAGGATAGTCAATCTCTGGTAACTGAAGAATCGGACAAATATACTGCTGTACACCAAAGGAATGAGGAAAACCTTTAGTGAACTGTGAGAATACTTCTTGCATCCCTTAAAGATAGTTCTTACCTTGAGAAAAGGAACAAAATTCCAAAAACAGCCGAAATTGCATCTATCAAAAGTATCAGCAACTGATGCATTTAAACAAAGCACCTGACTACTTAACTTCAACAGTAACTCTACTCGGATACAAAGGCAGTAAACTAAGTTGATTAGATCCTTTAAGAAGAGTAATTTATACATTTTTACTTCTGGTAAATAGAAAATAGTGACAGTCACTTAATCTTATGAAGTTAATCACATCGGTTTATTTATCCGAAAGATTGAACACACGATAACTATATTATGGATGATAGAAAATCTATAAATAAATCTCTAGAGAAGCAAAGCAAAGAAACTAATAAATGTGGATAAATTGTACGGATTGGCTGAATGTTGCAAGGATTGCAGAATTTTCGGTAGGATGAAACACCTACTAGTGCTCCCGAGTTTTCAATGTTTCTTCAACTGATGACAGCCTATGATGTATACCAATCTAATATCAATAAGTTTAAAATATTTTCTAGTGAATAAAGCCCATTCACAGTTTGATAAATTCAATAAATAAATTAATATACAGTTATATTTTGCATGGTGCTCAGGTTCAACTCGAATACTAACTTGTGGGGTTTCTCCAATGCTTTCATAATTGATGATATTTTGTGAATATTTTCATGTTTTCAGTGTTGTTTTAAAAGTTTCATGCTAAAATAAAATATTCTGCAAATCAATGAGCTTTTATCTCATGTATCTGGTGTACTACAATACAGGATATTTTGTTACCTATAGTTATATAAAGTTTTACACATTCCCCCCAACTGAATAATAACTGTACTTGGCACTAACTTATGTAATGCCTAAAAAAATACATGAAAACGGCGTACTTATAAAAAAATGTATTGTTCTGTAACAAGTTACATAAATTATAGAACCTTTTAGGTTAGCATTCACAATTGTGAACACAATTATCAGTTTGATGATCACTGAATACAGTGAGAAGAGCTCATTTCATCATACTTCATTTGATCCACATTCACTTCAACTAGTGTTTTTTGTGTAAACCTATCTCCCGTAATTTATTTCATTCCGATATTTTCAGACGTTGAACAGCTGGCAAACAAAACAATAATACTAATTATACCTATTCTCATTATCAAATGTTGGAAAAATATTTTTTTATAACAATTAAATCAGCCAATCAGAATGACAGATATAATCAGGTTTATGGGGAGAATTTGATTGGTCATTGTGACGTTGATTTGTAAACACTGAGATACTTGTAAAACAATAAAAATTCGCTATTACATGAGGATGATTATTATTTAGCATGGCTTATGGATTATATCAAGTCAGTTGCAAATTTGTTTGAATTCATCTAATCAGTAGAATAACTAAGGAAAAAAAAATACAACGTATGACAATTTCAATAATTTACTTCTGTAAAAAAGCCACCAGATTAACAATCTTGATAACACTGGACCCATCTATGAACTAGACAAAATACTTTATGATACTTTTTGAACAAAAATATCAAAGAATCCATTGAAATTAGTCATTTTTTATGGAGTACTAAACAGTTTCACATACCTATCTATGAAATTAACAGTAATGCCATTCAGAAAATGTGGATCCTTTGCAAGTGAGTAAGAAGCTATAATTTACAGTTTTACAGTATGCTTTTCAGTTGTTGTGAATCGGTGATAGTAATTTCATACTCATATGATTGTATATACTTTAGAAAAGGTAGAAATTTTCTTAATTGGTTAGATCATAAAGTAATTTTTGAATGTTTAATGATGCTGATTAGAAATAATCATTGGAATCGTCTAATTTTGCGGGCATTAATCTGTTGTTTATAATAGGGAATAGATGTTGTACAGATGGTGGCTACCATGCCTTGGTGGCCTAGTGGGTGACGCTTAGACGTCTGGAAAGATGAGCACGAGGTTCGAGTATCAGTGGGAACAATATCACTCACTGGAGTAAGGGTATATCCAGCTGATGAGTCGTTAATAGGACGAAGTATATGTCTCGGACTCTTTAGCTACCCACACTCAGGTCATCTGTGGCAAAGATACGTTTTCCTGTCTGTTTAGAGTGATGAAAAGCGGCATCTTTGTGCCTCATTGAAAGAAATTTTGGTTGACAGTGAACATCGTTAGAATTATATTTGTCGAAACTGTAAACCAGTCGAACGTAACATAAAGATTAAAACTGATTCAAATGGTATTTGTCTTCGATAAGACATGGAAAATCCAGTTAAAACTGTTTACCTGTATTAATGAAAATATCTGCGTTGTATTTTTGGTACTACTTTAAAAGCTTTAGGTACACTAATTAATTTATGGTTATTTTATTATATTATTTGTCCCTTGGGTTCCTGATGTAACATAGGGCTTCAGTAGCACGTCTCCAGTGCGCTCTGTTCTCTAAAATCTTTTGAACCTGTCTGCACGATATCTCACAAGCCTCCATTCCCTCCTCGCACGATCTTCTCCATGTCACCTTCACCTCGCACGCCCGACTCGTCGCTTACCATCGGGGTTCCACTCGAGCGCCTGACACGTGATGTCCCCAGTCGGCCTTCTCAGTGTATGCACAACCTTGTTGCTTATTCTTTCTGGCCACCTGATTTTCAGTAACGAGCCAGCGTAAGCAGTTGTTGATGAATGTCTGTAGTTTGTTAAAAATCCTTTTCTTAACGTGTCAAGTCTATGAACCATACAGGAGCACTGGTTAATGCAGTATAATATTATTTCTGCAATAAGTTAATTTTTTGGAATATGTTTTGTGTAGTGTTGCTTTTCCACTATATTTCATTTAGAAAATTCCTGGGCCTATGAATTCTGACTATTTTTTGCTAACATTACGAAGGTAGTCTCATAAAATTGATGTTATTTTATGTAAATTCTAATTTTTAACAATTTTTTTAATTATGCAACATCTAGATGTTGAATACTTTCGTTGTTTAGTAATATGGAAGTATAATAATCAATAAATATACAGTTTATTGAATTACCATAAATATGATATAGTTATCAAACACTGGATTTTCATTTGAAACATTAAAGTATGCCTCAATAGTAGACATTCACTTATGTGAGTGAATTTTTAAGTTATTGATACTTGCAGTAATTTCGCTAATATGATATCTGAGTGACAGTTCAAGATATAGAATTTCAATTACTGTGTTTGAGTGGAAATTAAGTATTTCAATACAATCTCAACGTTTTGTGGATGTTGTTCACTGAAAAAATCATTTCTAAGTCTCTACATTAAAGAATCAGGCAAGGAAACAGGGTTTTTTGATTGTTTATCACCATAAAGTTAAGCGAATTGTTTGATATTTTTTTACTTAATTCAACGAGCTTAACATTCAATATGCATATCATGAATCGCTTATAGCCTCCAATGTCACTACTGTTTTATAACATCAACAATACGGGATATGAATTATCTATTAAACGCATGGCCCTTCAAATAAAATATTGTAGTTTTTCTATCAAAACTGATTTGTGTGGTGAGAAAAACAAACTTTTGAAAGTAATTCTGATCATATGTGAAACATTCTAAATAATAATGAAACAGTTGAACATAACCATCAAATTTTCATTGATTATTGAGTTGATTCCCTTTGTGGATGAAAACTATTATCATAGATATTTCAAGCAGAAATCCTCCAGTAAAAACATTAGCTCATAATTTTGTTATAAATATGTATTTACATGTTTGGCGGAAAAATGTAGCACAAACGAAAAAGAAAAACCTATAATAAGTATATTTATGTTCTGTTGCATTTTTTTTTGACAAACTATGTTTTAAGGCATTCAGTAAATACAGATTTATGCCAGTTGAAAGAAAATGAAACCTTGCAAAATAGTTTACATGATGATGTGTTAAAAATCTGAAATACAAATATATAGTGGAAATTTATGAACACTTTTTCTAGAACTTTAGGAATGTTTCTCATGATTTCATAGGTAAAACTAGAAAATCTTTCATTGTAGACTTTATGGATCATTTTCGTTCTGTAGTTCAAATACACTTGAATAAATAAACATTTTTTAACATTTTCTTCAGTTTTGATTTGATGATATTTTTCTGAACTAACTGATTTTGGCTAAATACTATTGTTATTCATCGAAGACTGAGATCAGTTGAAGGAACAAAGGAAACCTGGGAGCACTGGACAGCTGTCTCGTCCTAGTATGGGACTCCTCAGCAGTGCGCACCCACTACCCCACCAGCAGGAATCGAACCCGCGACCTTCAGGTTCCGCGACCAGCGCGTTACCATTGAGCCACTGGGTCACAATCCATTGCTCCATATTTCCAACTTCTGTTAGCTCACGATATAGCGCATTGGTGACTAGCTTCGAGAAGTATTCCTGAAGTTCCAATGACAAGTCGTGACCGGTGGAGTCAAAGCCTGATGGCCGTGAGGACAGATACTCAACGATGACATTGGGTGGCGGTTTGCGCTATATCGTGAGCTAACAGAAGTTGGAAATATGGAGCAATGGATTGTGACCCAGTGGCTCAATGGTAACGCGCTGGTCGCGGAACCTGAAGGTCGCGGGTTGACTCCTGCTGGTGGGGTCGTGGGTGCGCACTGCTGAGGAGTCCCATACTAGGACGAGACAGCTGTCCAGTGCTCCCAGGTTTCCTTTGTTCCTCCAACTGATGTCAGTCTTCGATGAATAACAACTTGAAATAATTCCAAATCTCCACAACCCCTCAAAATTTAAATACTATTGGTAATATCCGGAAAAAGGTACATTTGACTTTCAGTATATTTGCTTCATTATTCTAGGACAACTGATTAGTTACCACATTACGATAGGTCAGCTCTTGTTCTTGTACTTAAATTGTGTTACTAGTTATTCCAATATCCTTCATCTCATTGTTTAGTCCATTCATTTGTGAATAGTTGAAATAAATGTTAGTCCAAAAAAGTTTATTAACCTGAAGATGGAAAATTTTTATTTTGGTTAGCATGTTATTACTTCATTGTTGGAAGCATTTGTTGAACATTTAATGTAAACTACATATACCCGGGTAATTCTGTTGAGTTTTCATTCAAACGGAACATATAGGGTACTTTGGACAACGCAAAACATAACCAGCGAACAAAACACTGTAGAGCAGCCTCGTCAAATTTAGTAATGGGTTAGTTACAGGCGTTTTGTTTATTCACCATTCATTGTAATGATCAGAGACGTTTTTTCTGGCACTTGATGTTTATTTGATAGACTAATTTAAATAGTTACCTAGAAGTTTCTTCATTTTTTTTATTCTAAGCACGTTAAAGTAAATATACTTTTCAAATAGTAATTTGTCCACTGTAAGTACTTGGGAAATTAAATCCTCACTATTGAGTAAGTAATGATGAATATCAATGAAGGGTGACTTAATTAGTTAGTACAACATCAGTCTAGTTACCTGACAAGCGATGTCGCTTTAAGTGAAATTGAAGTTCATTGAGAAGAAATAACATATTTAGTTCATTTGTACGGAATAAATCCTTCAATATTCCTCAGTGAGTGACTATGTTAATACAAGCTACTAAAGAAAGTATACTGAATACTTGTTTAGTCACGAAACCATTTACTAAATTACTGTTTACTAACTACTTTGAGTCTATTTAAGTTATTGAGTTTCCGGAAAAATGAAGTTTTTTTAAAATTTGGTTTTCTAGTGCTTAAGTAGTAGGAATGGACAAATTGACAGAATAAAAAATTACCTTGTGGATTTATTGTACAAATAGTGATCAACAGTAGAGTGTCTTTTCAGTGTGGACTTTTCACTTTTAGCCATTTAAAACGTGTAATACACAAATTATAGATGGACTTAATTAGGTTAACTTGATCAAAGCTTTTTTAGGGGGATTTCTTTTCACCGTGTATAATCTTAAACAATGAATCACTTGTGATATTGGGACTCTCATTATCAAGGTTTTCTGGACTCTTGATGAATTCATTTGCACCTCTTTGCAGCCGGGTGAGTTAATGTTCCCTAAACTGTTTGGAAAAAGTGCCCATCTAACGACGTACAAATCTTTGCATCAACTTTGAAAATATTATTCTCCAGTTGTATAATGTTTCCTGTTAACCCAAAGGATGAGCTTCCTCATCTGACCACTCCTATGTGTGTTTATCAGCTCACTTACTCCTATGGAGTTAGGTATGTAGGTAGTTTGATGGGCATCCTTTCCAAACGGGTAAGAGAACATTGACTGCCTTAGTTGCAGAGAAGCGAGGTCGGATCCGTCACAAGTGCAATAACTAAACGCAATTTTTTTTATTAGTGTGTTGATTTTTCTATGTGCATCTACCAGTTCACCTGCTCTTGTGCAGCGAGGTACATCGGCCGTAGCCAGAGAATGCTTTCTACACGTATACGAGAACATGTTCCTGCTTGGTTTCATAAAGGTGAAATAAAGTCTGTTAGAAGTTCGATTCTAGAACATTTGATTGACTTCCATTACACAACAAATCCAGACGATGACTTTGAAATTATTTATCAAATTCGCCCAAACCTCCCACGTTGTCTTCGTTTTCAACTCCTTAAAACAGCGGAGGCTTTAGCTATTCATGAACTAAGACCTGATCTGTGTGAACAAAAGAATTATGTGCAGTCA